TAGCTTGATTGCAATTCCTTTAATATTGCTACTTTTTTTAACCCTTTTCATTCCATCATTCATAGCAGTGGCACATAAAGGCTAAAATATGACATTTTAACAATAATCAATATAAAGCCTTTATTTTCCTTTAGATCCTCTATAGTAATGCATCATAGCTTGATTGCACCTTTAATATTGCTACTTTCTTTTTAACCTTTTTCATTCCATCATTGATCATAGCCTGGTTTCTCCCCTAGTGGCACATAAGGCTAAAAATATGACATTTTAACAATAGTCAATATAAAGCCTTTATTTTCCCTTAGATCCTCTATAGAATGCATCATAGCTTGATTGCAATTCCTTTATATTCCATCATTGATCATAGCCTGCATCATGGCACATAAGGCTAAAATATGACATTTGAACAATAATCAATATAAAGATTTTCCCTTAGATCCTCTATAGTAATGCATCATAGCTTTTGCAATTCCTTTAATATTGCTACTTTCTTTTAACCCTTTTCATTCCATCACTGATCATAGCCTGGCTTCCTAGTATGGCACATAAGGCTAAAATATGACATTTTAACAATAGTCAATATAAAGCCTTTATTTTCCCTTAGATCCTCTATAGTAATGCATCATAGCTTGATTGCAATTCCTTTAATATTGCTACTTTCTTTTAACCCTTTTCATTCCATCACTGATCATAGCCTGGCTCTCCCTAGTGGCACATAAGGCTAAAATATGACATTTTAACAATAGTCAATATAAAGCCTTTATTTTCCCTTAGATCCTCTATAGTAATGCATCATAGCTTGATTGCAATTCCTTTAATATTGCTACTTTCTTTTTTTAACCCTTTTCATTCCATCACTGATCATAGCCTGGCTCTCCCTAGTGGCACATAAGGCTAAAATATGACATTTTAACAATAGTCAATATAAAGCCTTTATTTTCCTTAGATCCTCTATAGTAATGCATCATAGCTTGATTGCAATTCCTTTAATATTGCTACTTTCTTTTAACCCTTTTCATTCCATCACTGATCATAGCCTGGCTCTCCCTAGTGGCACATAAGGCTAAAATATGACATTTTAACAATAGTCAATATAAAAGCCTTTATTTTCCCTTAGATCCTCTATAGTAATGCATCATAGCTTGATTGCAATTCCTTTAATATTGCTACTTTCTTTTAACCTTTTCATTCCATCACTGATCATAGCCTGGCTCTCCTTAGTGGCACATAAGGCTAAAATATGACATTTAACAATAGTCAATATAAAGCCTTTATTTTCCCTTAGATCCTCTATAGTAATGCATCATAGCTTGATTGCAATTCCTTTAATATTGCTACTTTCTTTTTAACCCTTTTCATTCCATCACTGATCATAGCCTGGCTCTCCCTTTAGTGGCACATAAAGGCTAAAATATGACATTTTAACAATAGTCAATATAAAGCCTTTATTTTCCCTTAGATCCTCTATAGTAATGCATCATCTTGATTGCAATTCCTTTAATATTGCTACTTTCTTTTAACCCTTTTCATTCCATCACTGATCTTAGCCTTTTAACTCCTTTCATAAGGCTAAAATATGACATTTTAACAATAGTCAATATAAAGCCTTTATTTTTTCCCTAGATCCTCTATAGTAATGCATCATATTTGATTGCAATTCCTTTAATATTGCTACTTTCTTTTAACCCTTTTCATTTCCATCACTGATCATAGCCTGGCTCTCCCTTTAGTGGCACATAAAAAATATGACATTTTAACAATAGTCAATATAAAGCCTTTATTTTCCTTAGATCCTTATTAATATCATGACTTTTATTGATCCTTTATATTGCTAATGCATTCCATCACTGATCATAATGCTCTCCCTAGTGGCACATAAAGGCTAAATATGACATTTTAACAATAGTCAATATAAAGCTTTAGATATAGTAATACATCATAGCTATTGCAATTTTTAATATTGCTTTTCTTTTAACCCTTTTCATTCCATCATTGATCATAGCCTGGCTCTCCCTAGTGGGCACATAAGGCTAAAATATGACATTTGAACAATAATCAATATAAAGCCTTTATTTTCCTTAGATCCTCTATAGTAATGCATCATAGCTTGATTGCAATTCCTTTAATATTGCTACTTTTAACCCTTTTCATTCCATCACTGATCATAGCTTTGGTTCTCCCTAGTGGCACATAAGTTTAAAATATGACATTTGAACAATAGTCAATATAAAGCCTTTATTTTCCCTTAGATCCTCTATAGTAATGCATCATAGCTTCATTGCAATTCCTTTAATATTGCTACTTTCTTTTTAACCTTTTCATTCCATCACTGATCATAGCCTGGCTCTCCCTAGTGGCACATAAGGCTAAAATATGACATTTGAACAATAGTCAATATAAAGCCTTTATTTTCCTTAGATCCTCTATAGTAATGCATCATAGCTTGATTGCAATTCCTTTTAATTTTCATTGCTACTTTCTCTTTTAACCCTTTTCATTCCATCATTGATCCTCTATAGTAATGCATCATAGCTTGATTGCAATTCCTTTAATATTGCAACCCTTTTCATTCCATCATTGATCATAGCATAAGGCTAAAATATGACATTTTAACAATAGTCAATATAAAAGCCTTTATTTTCCCTTAGATCCTCTATAGTAATGCATCATAGCTTGATTGCAATTCCTTTAATATTGCTACTTCCTTTTAACCCTTTTCATTCCATCATTGATCATAGCCTGGCTCTCCCTAGTGGCACATAAGGCTAAAATATGACATTTTAACAATAGTCAATATAAAGCCTTTATTTTCCCTTAGATCCTCTATAGTAATGCATCATAGCTTGATTGCAATTCCTTTAATATTGCTACTTTCTTTTAACCCTTTTCATTCCATCACTGATCATAGCCTGGCTCTCCCTAGTGGCACATAAGGCTAAAATATGACATTTTAACAATAGTCAATATAAAGCCTTTATTTTCCCTTAGATCCTCTATAGTAATGCATCATAGCTTGATTGCAATTCCTTTAATATTGCTACTTTTTTTTAACCCTTTTCATTCCATCATTGATCATAGCCTGGCTCTCCCTTAGTGGCACATAAGGCTAAAATATGACATTTGAACAATAATCAATATAAAGCCTTTATTTTCCCTTAGATCCTCTATAGTAATGCATCATAGCTTGATTGCAATTCCTTTAATATTGCTACTTTCTTTTAACCCTTTTCATTCCATCATTGATCATAGCCTGGCTCTCCCTAGTGGCACATAAGGCTAAAATATGACATTTGAACAATAATCAATATAAAGCCTTTATTTTCCCTTAGATCCTCTATAGTAATGCATCATAGCTTGATTGCAATTCCTTTAATATTGCTACTTTCTTTTAACCCTTTTCATTCCATCACTGATCATAGCCTGGCTCTCCCTAGTGGCACATAAGGCTAAAATATGACATTTTAACAATAGTCAATATAAAGCCTTTATTTTCCTTTAGATCCTCTATAGTAATGCATCATAGCTTGATTGCAATTCCTTTAATATTGCTACTTTCTTTTAACCCTTTTCATTCCATCATTGATCATAGCCTGGCTCTCCCTAGTGGCACATAAGGCTAAAATATGACATTTTAACAATAGTCAATATAAAAGCCTTTATTTCCCTTAGATCCTCTATAGTAATGCATCATAGCTTGATTGCAATTCTTTTAATATTGCTACTTTCTTTTAACCCTTTTCATTCCATCATTGATCATAGCCTGGCTCTCCCCCTAGTGGCAATATAAGGCTAAAATATGACATTTTAACAATAGTCAATATAAAGCCTTTATTTTCCCTTAGATCCTCTATAGTAATGCATCATAGCTTCATTGCAATTCCTTTAATATTGCTACTTTCTTTTAACCCTTTTCATTCCATCACTGATCATAGCCTGGCTCTCCCTAGTGGCACATAAGGCTAAAATATGACATTTTAACAATAGTCAATATAAAGCCTTTATTTTCCCTTAGATCCTCTATAGTAATGCATCATAGCTTGATTGCAATTCCTTTAATATTGCTACTTTCTTTTTTAACCCTTTTCATTCCATCACTGATCATAGCCTGGCTCTCCCCTAGTGGCACATAAGGCTAAAATATGACATTTTAACAATAGTCAATATAAAGCCTTTATTTTCCCTTAGATCCTCTATAGTAATGCATCATAGCTTGATTGCAATTCCTTTAATATTGCTACTTTCTTTTAATCCTTTTCATTCCATCATTGATCATAGCCTGACTATCCCTAGTGGCACATAAAGCTAAAATATGACATTTTAACAATAGTCAATTATATGTCTTTATTTTTTTTATTCCCAAATATTTATTCTTAATTTTATTAACTGTTAAATTTAAAAACAAACTAACCTCAACATTTCCAAGTAGAAGGTAGATTTTTTTCTTTAATTTTCTTTAATTGTTCTGATGGTTTTAAGGAAAAATTGAACACAGCCAAATTAAAAAGTGACTGACTCTATTGGCTCAGACATGTTATTTTTTCTTGTCATTTCTGCAAGTAGTTTTTAAGTCACTTCTGTTATTTTCATTTTATTATTCTGATTAACCTGCTACGTTTTGACTCGGCGTCTGGAGATGTACCGTACAAGGAGGTGTGGGCAGGTCTCGAGTTTACCTGACGGGTGGTAACTAACAACTTGTTCAGGTAACAATTATAAAGAGAAGCACCTCAGGATCACAGGTGGATATGACCGGGGGTAGGATATCGGGTACACTCGCCACAGTTATACACCTCTCGGGTATCTATTTCACTTGGCCCGACTATCTTAAAGAACCGAACGCGCGTGCTCCGCCCCCCAGCAGTGAGTGTGCTGAAAAGTTCTCGGCTCTAAAAGGAAACTTTTCAACAAAAAAAAAAAAAAGAGTCATATATATTTATGGTGGGTATATGTGATAGCCACACACACACACACGCACACACACACACGCACATACACAGCTTACGGCTATATCACGTTAAAAAAACAGTTTTCGGACTTGACGTACGATCACCGAAGTTAAGCAACGTCGAGCCTGGTCAATACCTGGATGGGTGACCGCTTGGGAATACTAAGTGCTGTATTGGATGTATGGGTGGTGTAATAGATGACAGCCCGGAACTAGAAATCAGAGAACCAAATTCCAATTCCAGCTGGGTTCGTTATATTCACATTTTCGAAAATATTCTTGGGAATGGTATGAGTGCTGCTCTTCTGCGTTCACCTACCCAGGTATGAGCTAATTAATAGAACTTGCATCAGTAAAAATCAGTACATACACAATCAATTCGATTAATACTAAATTAGGCTTTTATCACCTTTTCCGGTTAAGAAAATAATACTAAAATAATAGCCATCTGTTTATAACTAAAGGTAGCTCCCTGTTTGGTCAAAATCCAGTCCATTGGTGGTGAGATCGGGGTGACCTGTCTAGGGTGCAGGTCTGGTTAATGGTTTTTTGGAGGCCGTGCGCTGCCCAGAGTACCCCCCACCTACCATCCTCTCGGCCTACCCTCAAGATATAAAGGAATACAGGACATTGGGAACGGCCTGACTGCAGGAGTTGCCGGAATATTGTCAGTGCTGACAGCCAAGAGCTTTCGGGGCTTCACTCCAGGGTTTTTTGGGGTTTTTTTTCTATGGATTTACTTCCATATCCTTTTCTGTTGTTGGATATGGCCGCAAGGATTCGGAGGGTTAAAATCAGGGTTATCCTTCCCCTAGATCAGGTATGGACAACTTTTTTCGAACAGTGGGCCGGACTACTAACATAATTCAAGGCAATTTTTCGTAGTAGGCACCTCAGCTATTTTCACTAAAGAAGATCATATACGTAAGCATATACCTTAGAAATGTCAAGGAGGCTTTATTTTTCTGAAAAGATTTTTTATAATTAAAAAATTGAAGTTTTGGTATAATATCATTACCAATGATAGTGTTATTATCACATGTTGCTGCGTGGGATTTATTTCTAATTAATTCATTTGATAATCAAAACATTTTTTCTTTAGACAAAAAAATTTTTATGAACGTTTCCTGTTTCAGAAACAAAAGATGTTTACACGTATGATCTTAGTAAAACTAGCTAATGGTTTAAAACGATCACAATGTTGCTTTTCCAGAAGAAACATTGTACTTAATCATTGTTTATGAATGTGGTTATGTATGAGAGAATGTGTGAGTGAACAATTAAGAACGAAACGAAACAAAATTTAATAAGCGTTATTTTGCTTATGAAATTAAGCGCGCCATTCGGAAAGACCAAACGGCCCACATGTGGCCGACGTTTGCTCATGAATACCCTAGATGAACTAGCTTTCTAGGCTATAAAATAAATCCTAGTTAAACAGCATAACAAAAATTTTATTATAATTTTTATCTTAATTTATTTGAATATTTTCCTTAACATTTAAATAATATTATCATAAATTTAATAGTCACTATTGCTTTTTAAATATACGCTGTTTATTCTCTTAGCATAATTATTTTTATTTTTTCTACATATATTTTTCCAATTTATTAACATTTTTTAATTATTTTTAACTTTTAAATTTTTAATTAATTTTATTTTATTTATTTTATATGATGACATAAACAAATAGGAACTGTTTATCAATCTTGCATGTTTCGCTTTTTTTTTTAAAAAAAAAAACAGAAAATGAAATATGAAGAAAAAGAAGAAAGAATTTTTGGTATTGTTATTTTTTGTTATTTGATTTTCATTGGTCACTCATCTTTCACGTACATTCGGTTCTTTAAACCAACGTTAGTATAATTCAAAGCGGCCTTTCGAAGTTCCAAGAAATTAACAGATTTCAAAACTAACTGAAAAAAAATCGTAAATATTGTTTTATGTATGCAAGTGTATAATAATTCTAGTTTAATTTTATGGGATTTCATATGACAATGTATATTCATAAGTGTGTGTGTAAATGTGCGTGTGTGAGTGGGTATATATGTGTGTGCGTGTGTAGTAGTAGACTTTTGGTGGTTTTTGCATGTTGATTTTGGGCCTTTTTTACGTACATACCCTTTGTTTTAGATAAACATACGTTAGATTCTTTAAGAATGGATTCAATAAAAGTTGGTGATGTAATATAATGTTTTTGGCGTGTGTTTATAGTTGGTAATATTGTTAGAGTATAACCCGGATATAAGAGACCCGGATATAAGAGAAACCCGGATATAAGAGAGATTTTCTCTGGTCCCAAATTAGAGCCTGTGTTAATGTATATAAATTAGACCCAAGCCGGATATAAGAGAAACCCGGATATAAGAGACTTCTTCTCCGGTCCCGACAACTCTCTTATATCCGGGTTACACTGTATTAGTAATGACTCGAAGTACTTTTGACTTAAAGAATTATGTTCTTATTTTAATTAGGATGGATTTGTAAAATCAAAGTTATTGTCAGTTTTATTCCTATTTATTACGAGCGTGTTTGAATAGTTGTCTAAACGTAAATCTCTTTTATGCTCGTCAATACGGGTTTTAGATTTTCCTATGTAGAAATCTCGTTGATAGTTCAGATATTTATTTTATATCTGAATATTTGTTTTCATTTTATTACCTGTTGAATTTAAACGTCTTTCAAATTAACCCCACCGCTTCAAATTAGCAATTTTTCCATGGTAACAATTTTTTCTTAATTTTTTCAGTTGTTCTGATGATATTCTAAAAGAAACGTTGGCAACAGAATTATATATATATATATATATATATATATATATATATAAAAGGTAAAAAAATCCGTGGGTAAAATAATCCAAGTGAATCCTATTAATATAAAATATTAAACTGATCCACAAAAGAGAGCTCAATATATTTGATAGAACATAAAAATGAATTACATAAAAATGAAACTCAATTGTACATTTTCTTTAAATTTATATATATATATATATATATATATATATATATATATATATATATAAAAACCTCAAGAAACATTTCCCCAACCCTGAGACTAACCCACTTAGTAAAATATTTAATCCTAATACCCTTAAATTGAGCTATAGTTGTGCTGATAACCTGGAGAAAATAATTAAAAAAACATAACAACATGGTCTTTAACAAGTATAGGGACTCAAAAAGCTTGATTACTCAACAAGTTACTAAGAGCAATACTAAATATAATAACGCAAATAATAACTTATGTAATTTAGAATCCTGATAATTGTCCACTGCAAAATAACTGTAGTATTGGTTCTGTTGTCTATCTTAGTACAAAAATAAAAATTGAAAATCCAAATATAAAAAAGTTTTACATTGGTAGCAGCATTTGTTTCAAAAAACGCAGGCGGGGCATATGCAATCTTTTAATAACAGTGACTATATATATATACTTCATTATCCAAGTATTTTGGAATCTAAAAGAAAAGAACAAAACACATACATTTTAATGGAGATTGATTAAAAATTTCCGGACATGTAACTCCCGGTATGCCCCATGTTACCTATGTCTTAACGAAAAATTTCAAATTATTAGATTTAAAAACAAGGCTGATCTCTTAAATCAAAGATCCCCTGAACTAACAGTTAATTTCTCACCGTTATAAATTTAATTTATTGTAGGGTCCTATACTTTAAATGATAATGATCCATGTCGCCATATGTTTAATAGATTATTAGTTTAAAAAATAAAATTCCTGACGATATGAATGTGTATTGTATACCTACATAGTGTTATTCGTGTTTGTGTGTATAAATGTATATATTTAAAGATGTAGGTATGTGTGTTTATACTGCGGTAGGTGTATGTTTGTATATATATATATTTATATATATTGGTAGGTTTTTCACATATATATATGTATATATATGATTTAATGTATGTGTATATATATACATATATTTGCAAATAAAATGTAAAAAGGTCTGAAAAGGAGGAGAAGAGAAGATCCTTAATTAATATTAATTTATGTGTATGTATATGTTTTGTGTATATGTGTGTCTGTATGCATATATATATATATATGTATATATATAATATATATGTTGTGTTTTTGTATATAATGTGTGACATATGTATGAAAATATATATATATATATATATATATATATAAAATATAGTTATTGTTTTGTATGTGTCCTGTTATATATTGTGTTTAAATTTAAATTTTTAAAGGTATATTTTCATATAAAATATTTGATATATATATGTTTTTACTGGTAAATTTTATTCAAAGTGGCATAACTATATTGATGTATATTTATGTAATGTATATGTATCCATGATTATATATGTATTTAGTTGAATGTCGTTGTATTTATGTGTTTGTACGTATATATGTGTAAATTAATATTATGGATAGGTATTTTTATGTACATATTGATATGTATATATATTTGTGTATATATTTATATGTATATATATATATATATGTGTGTATATATGTATATTTCTGTTTGTATTTGAATGAGTTTATATATGTATGTTAGGGTAACATATATTTTACTGTGTGTATGTATATGGATGTTTATGTTTATGTATATATATATATATATATTTATATATGTTATTATATTTATAGATTGAAAATAATTTTATATTTTACTGAATCACCAAAATTTGCACACAAAAATATATATATATTTATGTATATATTTATATGTGTATATATATATATATATATGTGTGTAGTGTGTGTGTGTGTGTTTATACCCCAATATATGTTTATACCAGTATTTGTGTGTTTGAGAGATTATTATATATAAGATTGTTGCCTTTTGTTTTTCTGATTTATTTCTAAATTTGGTTTGACACAAACACAACCCTTTAATCATGCTAATGTATATAAATATTTTTTTAATGACATCAGTAAACTATGTATATTTATAACATTCTATACAGGACACAAAATGTGTGTATATATGTATATGTGTGTATATCCCTCCCGATATCTTTATTAACTGAAAAATCTATTTTCAGTAAAGACTTTATGTTTATGTATTTTATAAAATATGTATTTATTTCATATATATATAACTAGTTTATATATGATTTATTTTTAAGTATGTATATGTATATATGTATGTATATTCATGTTTATGTATTTATATGTATGTATTTCTGTGTATGTAT